TTGCAAAAAGATGGCGCAAGTTCTGTTCAAAACAATGAAACGGGATCAAATTTAGCCAAAACTGGACAGAGTGTATTGAAGGAAAAACAGCCAAATACCAATTCACAACAACAAATTGCCCAAATTTCAAGCAAAAACATTGAAACTCCTAAATCAAGCGAAGAAAGTTATATTCAAAAGCAACCAAACACTCAAAAGCCACGACCCACGACAAAATCCTCGCACGAGTCGCTCGGTGACGAGCGAAATGTCGTCGGCATTGGTGGTCATGTTATGAACTCAGGAGACAGTGCGGGACACGTTAGGATAACTGATGTGGACAATAGTACAGGAAGCTTTGGGACAAAGTTATAGAAGCGCGCTGAATGACGATATGATCAACTTGTGGGTCGGATCTAGCCTCATCTGCAAGGAGGGGTGCAGGTTTTCCATGGGGTGGTGCACGAGGGAGCCTTACTGCCCACTCTCCTCTGCAGTCTGCAACGCTACTATCCCAACATTACCATTATTTGAGATGGCCGAATCTTCAATCTTCGAGTTATCAGCTTCGTGGCAAGTTGTCAACAAGCTGTGAAGCGGTGCAATTTAGGTCTACAAATGGAAATCCCACATCTTGTGTAGCAAATCTGCAAGCAATCCGTCTACAAGTTGTGTTCGCACTGCTTGTCCCAAGTTGTCAACAAGTTTGGAACAAGCTGTTAACAACTTGCAACAACCTTGTTGATATTATCAGACTTGTTGCAAGGTTGCTCCAACAAATCCGATACAGTCATGATATAACAATATTGTTACAACCTTGTGTCGTCAACCTTGTAACATTCTTGTTATATCACGACTGTATCAGACTTGTTAGAACAACCTTGCAACAAATCTGATGCCACCAACCTTGTTACAACAACTGGGAACAAGCAGTGCGAACACAATTTGTCGACAGTTTGTGAACAGATTTGTAACAATTTGTTTGTAGACCTGTAACAACTTGTGCGTTTTTATGTGTGTACTACGGACGTAAAAATCTCACAACTTGTCAAAAAGATGTGTTCGCAACAGGCTTGTACCAAGCTTGTCAACAAGTTGTAACAATGCTGCTATTTCATCAAGTTACTACAAGGTTGTCACTCACAACTTGTTGACAAATTGTTGAATTGCAAGAGGATAACAAGTTGTTGGAACAACTTATAACAAGTCTGTTGAGCTCAACAACCTTGTAGCAAGTTGTCAACAAGCTGAGAACAAGCAGTGCGAACACATCCTCCAGATGATCTTGATACGCGGAAAAGTACTGGCACTAGTTGTCAAATAGAAATCCATTTTACGATTAAAACAACTGAATATCTCCTGTAATATATTTTATTTCGATTCCATATTTTTGTCAGAGCTAGAGTTCTCATAACCGAACATAATTACAAAATTTCAACTAGTTTCATAAAGAATAACGAGAGATATAATTGACTGAATACATCAAAATGGATTTCTATTCGGACAACCCTTTCTGAGCGCCGATTGGCTAAAATACTAGACTTGCTCCAAGTCTCTCTTTGTGGAGACTTGGAGCAAGTCTACTAAAATACGAACACGAGATCACCTGGCTGTTGACAAGTTGTTGGAACAGCATTGCTACAAGTCTGCTGCAGGTTTGTTACAACTTGTGCGCTTTTACGCGTGTGCTATATGACGAACGTGAACAAGACCAAGAGTCCAAAAGAACCGAAGGAAATCATAAACACAAGATGATGTAAAACCAACGAATATACAATTACAATATTATAGTTAGTACTATTATATTTAGCAAAGCTGTATGTACTAAATTACTGTATATATTTGTATATAGCATTCCAACTTTACTTCATAAAGTAAATTAAGAATTATGCACGATTTTTTCATAAATTCTCACACATTTTAATTTAACCTATTGAGTATGGAGGTTAAAAATTACAATTCATACACATAATTAATATTTCTCATTTTTAATCGAGTTCGATAATGGAAAAATATCTATTTAACATGAATAAGTTTGAGCTAGGACTTAGCTCAAAGCTAGGACGTTTCTCAAGCGGCAAAAACTCAAAAAGTATGTTTTAATAGTGCTTTATCTGTAAAATTATGCTAAAATGAAGAGATTTTAGATGGTACGCCAAAGAGAAAATGATGTCTGAAGTTCAGTAAGTTTTTTTTATATTGCTGTATAAATATGGCGTCAATTCAGTACAGCATCAATGATAATTGTATTGAAATTGACAATATTTAACTATTATTTTGTGTTTTTCAACCGCCAGATCCATTAAAATGGTTCTAACTGTGTAAACTACAAAATAACTAAGCTAAACTTCAGTACGACAGTAGCGCTTTACAGAACAAAAACTCTTATTTGCGAAAGGGTATAGGCAGAAATTCATTTTCCCATTCCTGGAACTGAAACAGTGTTCCTAGGCCTAGCTTTTCTGGGCCAAAAATTCAATACTCGTAATCTTCGTACTCTAATTGATGAGAACGATTTATAATAATAGAACTATATATTGGTTACAAAATTAATATTGTGCAATCTGCCGCACTTTATAATCTATATGTAAAATTAATTATAAGTTCTGTACCAGAATATGATGGTCAAATATGTCAAAAATATCATCAGAAATGATCGTTCAAGGTCGCTCGCCCGCAGCGAGTCTGCGGTTTATATCTTCAATTACGGGGGGGAGTTCAGCAATACTGTCGATGACGTAATGTGCGCCCGCGTTCGCCAAAGTTTCGTAGGATTTCGCAATCTTGAGTTCGTATTCTTCATCGCTCAGTTCGTTTATTTCACTTTCGTTTAATGCAACGTAATTACCCTAAAAAAATTGGATCATAAAAAAGATTATATTACCGCTATTTTCAAAAGCGTTTGTTTTTAAAACGTATCATTATTTGAGTTTAAAAACGTATCATTATTTGAGTTCCTTTTGTTGTAAGGGAGCGGTCATTATTATGCATGGCGGGGGTAGCGCCGAAGAGAAATGTTTTCCCCGGAGGGGTAGCAGGCCGGCTCCAGGGTTAGGGGTTAGGCTGTGGGGTTAGGAGGTGGAGTTAGGGGTTAGGAGGTGGGGTTAGGGGTTAGAGGTTAGGGTTAGGGTTAGGGTTTGGATTAGGATTAACGTTTGGATTAATTGTAGACCATTACAACCCGATACCTTATTGCATACAATGGCATTACAACGCCAATAAATTATTGGTTACAACGTGCGGAACGGCTGAATATTTCGGTGGGTCATGCTTTGGAATGATCACACAAATCGACTCTGTGTCGACATCAGCTATAGACTAAATTTTGATCAAGGCAAGAAGAACAAAATCCATCATCACAGCTAGAAAGAGCGTCTTAGAATGAGTAAAACTGCGAAGATTGGTTGCTAAATGTTGTAAAATGCAGAAAATATAGCCCTGTGAAGTTCGCAAATTTTGTATATATTTGTATGACGCGCGGTAAAAAATAACAACTTTCGGCTCAAAAATGGTACAAAATTTGCGAACTTCGCAGGGCTATAATTTCCTCATTTTACAACAATTCGCAACCAAACTTTGCAATTTCACTCATTTTAAGATGCTCTTTCCAGCTATGGTAATGGATTCCGTGTTCTTCTTGTCTAGATCAAAATTCCGTCTATACCTGGAATCATGCATTAAACAGATCTAAACAACAATCTAGCGCTTACTGTTCTAGCCAGACCAACACTCCAGCAGCCAGCAGAGGTCCCCTCTCTCACTCCGTCTGTGGTATCATCAACTTTCACAATCGCTGAAATAGGATTCACATCCAATCGGATAGCGTTCAACCATACCATATATGGATAGGGCCGAGCCTGAGGTACTTCGTCAGCGGCGACGTAGCAGTCGGGTACATATCCGTTTTCTTCGGCGATTTTCTTTAGTACATCTACCATTGGAGTTGTAAAGCCCGTAGTCGAGCCGATCTTTAAACCCCAATCTTTCTGCAGAATGTCCACTGTATCAACAGCACCTATTACAACAGATGAATTTAGTTCAAGTCTGAACGAAATTTAAGAGCAATGAAATTGAAGTCTGATGAAATTGAAATTCAAGTCTATTGTCGAAACATTTAATCATTTCTTTGCTTCGGTTGGGAAAAATCTGGCATCCTCGATTTAAACTACATATGCAAAAATCTCACATCTTGTAGCAAGTCTGCCAACAAGCCGTCAACAAGTTGTGTTCGCACTGCTTGTCCCAAGTTGTCAACAAGTTTGCAACAAGCTGTTAACAACTTGTAACAACCTTGTTGATATTATCAGACTTGTTGCAAGGTTGTTCCAACAAGTCGGATGCCGTCATGATATAACAATATTGTTACAACCTTGTGTCGTCAACCTTGTAACATTTTTGTTATATCAGACTGTATCAGACTTGTTAGAACAGCCTTGTAACATTCCTGTTATATCATGAATGTATCAGACTTGTTAGAACAACCTTGTAACATTCTTGTTATATCATGACTGTATCAGACTTGTTAGAACAACCTTGTAACATTCTTGTTATGTCATGACTGTATCAGACTTGTCAGAACAACCTTGTAACATTCTTGTTATATCATGACTGTATCAGACTTGTTAGAACAACCTTGTAACATTCTTGTTATATCATGACTGTATCAGACTTGTTAGAACAACCTTGTAACATTCTTGTTTTATCATGACTGTATCAGACTTGTTAGAACAACCTTGTAACATTCTTGTTATGTCATGACTGTATCACTGTGTCGTGTTGGGACATTGGGATTTACGATATGGCGGTATTAGCTTATTTTTCTTACGGTATTTCCCTTAAAAAATATCGGTATTATACGATATTGGAAATCTTGCGGTACACGGTATATTTGCAATTTTGGACTCAAAAACAGCGGTAATTGACAAAATTTGCTTGTGGTATTACGGTATTGAATACCCCCCAGTGACCCCCTCATATTTCCCTACCTGTGATCATTTCTGCATATTCGTCCAGACAAGCCAATTGCATCGGGACAAAATTTTCAAACATTCTTTCCACGTCTTTCTCGGTGGGATTTACGCCAAATTTTTCCTTCCATCGTTTCCTCACTGAGTCGATTTGTGTGATCATGCGAATGTGTACCTTTTTGTGTCTGAAAGATAGATACAGTTAGATATATAACAGACGAGACAGAGAGATCGATATCTATCCCTATATCTAGAAACTTTCGTTGAGTTAAGAGTAGAATCTTTTGTATGTTAACCTAACACGCGCTCAAAACTGATGAATATAATTTTCCACTGGTTCAGGACTATATTTTCAATTTTTGATATGTTTCTCAAGCGGCATGAAACAAACTTAGAAAGTATGTTTAGTGTTTTATCTATAAAATAATGCTAAAATGAAGAGATTTTAGATGGTACGCCAAAAAGAAAATGATGTCTGAAGTTCAGTATATAAGTTTTGCTTATACAAATACAAAATTAGTTTAGTTCATTTGAAAGAACTCTTAAAACTAATATATATATATATATATATATTAAACTCTATTACAGATTGTTTATATCTTGCTTAGTTTTCAAAATATTTCGACTGAAAAAAGTGAGCTGTTCGCCATCTTGGATTATTGAGGATATGCATGTTACGTCAAGAGAAGGGTCACGCTAATTTTTTATCTTGAGAGTAAGCGATCAATATGGGTCCAAAACTTGTTTCTGGTTGCTGTCTGACATTTAGAAATGATTAAAAACATTTCAAACAATTTTCGATTGTTACTCGGTCATTTTAGAGTAGTTTTGTATGGTTAACCCAACTCCTGACGTCATCAAAACCATAGTTAATGAGGTCAAGAATTAGTCCAAGATGGCGGGACAGCTCATTAATTTCGATCTAAATATTTCGAGAACTAAGCAAGATATGACAAATCGGTAATAGAGTTTAATATATAATTTTAAGAGTTCTTTTGAATGAGACAAACTAATTGTTCATTGCCAATGTCCTTTAAGGTTTTTTCACGCTATTTGTACGGGACTGTGTTAGACAAAGTCAAAGAGCATTTGAAATGTGCTGAAGTTTCACATCTCACCTTCCCATCGGTTCTCTTGCTTCTTCCATCGTGATAGGAACGCCTTCTTGTTCAAAAACCTTCACAAACACGACGGCTGGCGAGTATACACCACAATCCAAAACTGTTCCCGCCCAGTCCAGGATGACAGCCTTTACTTTGCCCTGGTATACGCGGATGTTTCGATATTCCGTTCTGGGATTTGCCAGTAGTGAACCTTTTGATTTAATTAATGATTTAAGAGGAGAATCTTTTGTATGTTACGTAACACGCGCTCAAAACTAAACGGAATATACTTTTCCACTTGGATATGCGGCGGACTACGATTCAATTTTTAAAATTTTCACTAAGTTTCTGAAGCGGCGAACAAAGTTAAAAAGTATATTTAGTGATTTATCTGTAAAATAATGCTAAAATGAAGCGATTTTAGATGGTACGCCAAAGAGAAAATGATGTCTGAAGTTCAGTAAGTTTTGCTTAATATATATTGCTGTATAAATATATAGCGTCAATTTTACAGCATCGTGGCAGTCATCCTAAATCAATCGTATGAATTTAATACAGTTTTAGAAGTTGAAGACATGGGTTTTATGGTTGGGAAGAGTTCAGCTAAACCCAGTTTGAACTTTGAAGTTGCACTTGTTGCGGCTTGGAATGCAGCCGTTGTATCAAGACGTGAAAATCTGTGATTTGGCGTTGTAAACAGAGCGAGGACAATGTCTAAATTATTCACATATTGTAATTACTCAATTCTTTTCATTGATCTATTGTATTGGTAGCCGTTGCCGTCCTAAAATCGTAAGGTCGCTAATGATAAATATTGGAAAGCCGGCGCATTTTTGTAATATAACTTTAGTACGGATTTGAAAGCATGCAAACCAGTATCTCCATTACGGAGGTCATTTTTTAAAACGTTCCACGTTGTACATGCTCGAAAAATCTGCTTGACCATACATGTTCTGCTTTTCGAATAGTGATTAGCGAAACTTGTACGTTCTACTGTCAGCGCGTGTCGATTTCTGGAAACGATTTAATTGATTTGTGAGCTCACGAGAAAATACTCAGCCGGAATGCTTCAGTTAAATATCATGGTTAAATATCTAAACATGTCGAAGTTGTTATACAGCCATGTTTTCAAATACACTGTACTTTAACAAGTAAATTTACTGTACTGTGCT